TGATCTTTATCATCCCTTCCCACCCAAACCATTCCATGATTTTGGGATTTAGGAATGGGATTAAACTTATTTTTTTTCCCCAGAAAGAAAGGCAGCCACATGTGTGGTGTCCATGGCTGCAGCTGGGAAGGACTGGGATCCAGGGAACACCATTCCAGTTTGCATTTTGCTGTTCCCCTGGTTTGGGTCGAGCACTGCAAGAGGAGCTGTGAGAATCTGGTAAATTAGGGAGCAGTTTAAGGAATGCTTGGGAATCTTCCTGGCTCTTGTGAGGAGGAAAATGCTACCCTCCTGATGAAACAAATATCTAAATTAATTTGAATTTAATTGACAACTTCTGTGTTTTATTGCTATTCTGAAACCTTGCAACCCCAGTGTCCATGGCTCTGTTGTGCTGTGGGAGGAATTTGAACCTGTTAGTGCGTGATTTCTATATCCCTGTGTGGAATTCCCTGGATATCACAGCTCCAGGCAGTATTTCAGCCCTTGTGTTGCAAATGTTTGTTCTTAAATGTGTTCCTTTCGGGGACCAGGAGTAATGACTCTCCTTGCTGTGTGGCAGTTCCTTGCTGCTGCACTTTGTGGAGCTGATACCTTCAAATTTGTTTAATTTAAAGTCTTTTAATCTTTAGCCCTGGTGCCATAATGATGATGAGAACACATCCATTAATTTAGTTAATGCTTTCCCAAATTGCCAATTCTCTCATCCGTGGCAGCCTCGTGGAGCTGCTGTGGAGCAGAGGAGACGTCCCACCCCCACAGCACCTCTCCCAGGAATAAACAGATTTATGGATCCCCCCAGCACAGGCGTCTGTTTACCCACAGACCTCGTGCTGGGCTGGAAAGAGGTTTTACTGAGCTTTAGAATCCCAGAATCACTGGGGTTGGAAAAGCCCTCCAGGATCATCCCCCCTGTGCCCGATGCCCCCCTTGTCCCCCAGCCCAGAGCACTGAGTGCCACGGCCAGGCCTTCCTGGGACACCTCCAGGGCTGGGCACTCCA